CAAGGGGCTGAGTCTAGTATTGCCATCAGATGCTCGCTGGTTTTTAGTCTATATTCACCAATTAAGATCGGTCTGCCATAGGATTTGGTGGTTATGGTAGCACTGATGGTGAGAATTCTGCCATTTCATGAACTGGTGCAGTAAACATGTTTCGTCTGCTGTTTTTTCGAGGATCAAAAGTCACCAGACCTACAGAACCAGCCCCGTTGCCTGACCATGGACACGCCGTAGTTAGTAACTATCAGGTTAAGCAGAAGTCTGGCATGTATTACAGTTTAAGAAGAATGACTCAAAGACTGATCTGTGCACATAAAGAGATTCTTTTTTTGTACAAGGCATCTCTGATGCCCTCTCAGAGTCAGGAACAGAGGCCATTCGAGGCTGTTTGCCATTCGTGGTGCTGGAAGGGAGCACCTAACAGCAGTATTAGCATAGTAGAGTCTTCGAAGAGTAGCAGTCATTAGATGAGTCGTTAAGGCTTTTGAAGAATCATCTTAATCTTCCAGGCCTTTTGTCCTGAGTGTTTTGGCCTTAATTGGATTAATAGGCTCAGGAGCAAACTTTCATAGTGTGGAGTGGGTGGCAAGTTTGATGTGTTAAGCATAAATTTGATGGATGAAGATTATTGAGACCCTCGCAGCTGTTCTGCTGTACACACTCGTTTGTAGATACTGATTGATGTTTTCATCTTCATGAGGGATCCACTTAGCTGGTTTGGAGTTTAGGTTTTGGTTTTTTCTGCTGGTTTTCGCTCTCTCCCCTTCTAGCTGTGAACATCTTGATTTGTATTTGATAAGGGGAGGGGGGGAAAATCCTTCCTCTGCTTTACAGCATTTGCAGGAAGAAGCGTTAGCCTACCGAAAGCCGTGTAAGCGGATGGGTTTAGTGTCTTAGGTTTTGCTGTGTAAAATGGAAGTACTTCTCCAAGTCTATGGTGGCTTCTGAAACTTTTCTGGAAAAGCCCATATTTTGGGAACGGACCGAACAGCTACTCTGGAATTGATACCCGTGTTTACCTAGAAGAGCATTTCTGCGTCTCCAAAAGAGGATATCTTGCCAGAGCTGCTATGGAGTCTTAAAGACAACTCTAATTGGTTACCTCCACATCATAAGGCCACTACCTGCTAAATTCTGGGATTAATGCCAGTGTAAATGCACATTTGAAAGAAGATTGGGTTATTCTGCAGGAACAGCACTTCTTTGAGAGCTGTCGTGTTGTATAACTCCCTCTCTCTTATAGGGTCCTATACTTTGGAGCTTGTGGTAGCAAAGAAACTTGAGGGTGGATAGTCTCCATGATTTATGCACCAGTTACAAAGGTGCTGTGTGGGTCTATGGAGTAGGTACAAGGTCTCAGGACAGACAAAATACTTTCCTTTCACATGTATGGAATGTGTACGAGCCATCTGATGAATTGGCTGGAGGAGCAGTAAGGAAGCTGTGTCGTTCTCAAGTTATTCTTCTGGTCCCTGGCAGTCGAATCACATCGGACTTCGTGGCTGCAGATGTCCTACAGTGTGTTTTAAAAGCCGTAGTGATGACTCTGCAGCAATCACAGTCACATTCCATTATTAGTTGTCCTTGTCACCAACTTCTTCCTGATAACTCACTAACTTTCCCTTGCTCTGTTGTGTGTTCTCCATGTGCGTGGAAAAAAATGTTATTTCCTTCTCCTCGTATTAGCCTTTTATATACTGAAAAGTCATTATCTTGTCCTCTCTTGAACATCTTTTTTCTCCCAACTAAATAACCCCAATTCTTTCACTGTTTCCTAATGAGCTCTATTTTCAAGGCATCCATTCATTTTTTTTCTCTGTTCTTCTTGCCTACATGTTTCTTGAAATCATTGCCTGTCGACAGGGAACTGCCAAGGCTGAAGTACAATCTATCGGTTCAATCTGTTTGAAAAAAAATAAATAAATACTTATTAAATGGTAAGTAACTGTGTTGTGTGGTGCCAGCACATTATTTAAAAGCTAGAGCTTGGGGCTTTTACTGTTCCTCTTACAATAAGTCTGAAATTTATTAGAAGAAGTCACTTTAATGAGCTCAGCAGAACGCTCTGGCCACGTTTGCAGGCTCTCATAAAAGGCATCTCATCCACCACTGCTTGCTAATTTTCTTTTTTTCCTTTTATCTTTCTAAACGTGCTCTTCTGGTCACTTTGCTCTGATAAAAACTTCTGCAGCTGTCTCAGTTCTCACTCCTGTCTGCGTAGGTAGACACTGTGTCCAGGACTGGGTGGTTTTGTTAAGCAGAAGCAGCAGTGAGATGGGACCGGCACGGCAGTGACAGAAAGTAGAGACATGTCTTCAGCCAGTTTTTGAAGTGTTTCCTTGGATTCAGTCTTGGATGAGAGGGATAGAGAGAGGGATAGAGTTTTACCCTCTGATGCCACGTCAGCGATACGTAGAGTCCTCAGCCAACGGCGGTGATGAGAAGGTGGCTGCAATCACAGCAGGTCTTCACGGATTCCTCTGACCCGGCCGTTGCTGCTGCTGCTGCCCGACGCTCCGGCTCGCTCTGTGCCAAGGTGCCAGGCACAGTGACCGCCTGGCTTTACCTGCCCTGGTTCAGATCCCTGCATGTTTACATCAGCCCAACCTTTACTCGATGTGCTCCTACTGAAAATTGCGTCCACCACTGTGGTTTGTTCCCCAAATCATCGTAGTATATTTCAAATGGATTGAAAGCTGCGTGGCGGTGTGTAAAGAGTTAGCCGTGAAAAATGATCGTAGTATATTTCAAATGGATTGAAAGCTGTGTGGCGATATGTAAAGAGTTAGCCGTGAAGAACGTTCTTCTAGTGAGGATCTTCTCCTGTTTAATAGTCTTACCCTCATGTTTCAGTATCTTTTATTAATGAATAAGTCAATAACACGTGGTGCTTTCAGAGGGTGCAGGAGCCAAAAGCTGAAGCTAAACAAATTCATGCAACAAATCATAGAATGGTTGAGGTTGGAAGGGACCTCAAAGATCATCCAGTTCCAACCCCCCTGCCATGGGCAGGGACACCCTCCACTACACCAGGTTGCCCAAAGCCTCATCCAACCTGGCCTTGAACACATCCAGGGATGGGGCAGCCACAGCTTCTCTGGGCAACCTGTTCCAGTACCTCACATTTCTCTCTGAACTATGTACCGTTGAACTGGAAGCATCATTCAGTTCTGCATTAGGTGTTGAACTCGGCTGTGCTGGAGAGGAACTCCTTTTAGATAGTTCTGTCTGGTCCTGACCCGTCTACTACTTAAGAATCTAAAAGTTCAGCATGAATTTCCGACTTGTCTTTATAGATGCAAATCAGGTGGTTTATATGTAACTGGGCCAAGACAGAACTTTTAGTTCTCTGCAGGGTTTCTTCATCCCCAGTTACCGTAGACTCCACCTGTATCATACCTCTTACTTGTACTATGCCTTCCTATTTCGACTTGCTCCTTTATTCAAGGTCAGAGTGTTATTTGCATTTTATCACCAAATTTCTGCGTATTTTCTCAAAGACTGCCTCTTGTCAGTGTCTTTCCTCACAATTGTTCAAGCCATATTGCCTCTGTTACTTCACAGTTCTGTCAAATCATGTTCTGAGGTGGCCTCTTTTTTGGTTTAGACACCCATCCTACAATTCTTTCAGAGCACCTCTGTAAAAAGTTCTTTTTCCTGGCTCGTTGCTTTCAGATCCACCTCCATCTCTCCGTGCTCTGCTGCATCAAATACAATTAGATGTCATCTTTAATATTCTTTTCTGGTTTATTTCATGTCTCACTAGTCATCTCCTCAAATGTTAAGATATTGATCTTCTCCCACCTTCATGTGAAAAATGAGGATATTCCTGATGGCTGATTTTTTTAGCTTGCTTCTCCAGTGAGCATCTCTTCTGTTTTCCTCCCGTGGACTTTACAGAAGGGAGAAATTCTTTTTATAAATCCAACAGAGCTGTCTTGTAGTCCTTGTTAAAGCTCTTGCTCTTCTCCATTACAGACCAGTGGTCAGGTAGTTGATGATAATAATGTTTCCATAGTATGTCTACATTGAGTGACTTTGGGGCATGGTAGCTCTTTTTGTTACAGTGCTTCAAACTCATGAATTACCTCCAAATTAAGAAGATACTTTTGCAGAAATGTAGTGAATAATGACAATGAGTTAATGACAATGAGTTAATTACAATGCATTCTAGCAACTAGCTGGTAAAACCAGTTTTACATGATGTACCATCATGGTACATCGTGTAAACTGGGGATCTACCAAATACGCCTTCTTGGAAAAGATGCTTCCTATGGGCTTGGAAGGAACTTTCTTCTGGTTGCTCATTTATCTAATAAGCTTTAGGCTCTGAATAAGGCTATTAGAGATTGATGTTCCAAAAGTAAGTAGGAGCAACACTAGAAATGAAAGAAATTTCAGTAATTTCTCTGAGTAACCAAACTTGAGAGGGAAGATTAAGCCTTTAATTATTTTTCCTATGCATTATCAATGAAGGAAAAGCTGCAGGAAGCTGCAGATATATGGTTTTGCATAGACAGTGTTCATAAAAGAATAGGAACTCTGTCTGCACTATGTATACATGTCATTGAAAAGAGATTGGAAGCTTGTAAAAGTTAAAATACCTGTGTGGGGGGTGAGGGGAGTTGTCTCTTGATTTTTAGATTCAAAATAATCAAGTATCTTTTAAAGACTGCTTGAGAAAGCACTTAGAATTCCTGATGTTGGTGGAGGGAGGTGGGAGGAGAATTTATATTCTTTAATAGGAACCTAAGCACTATTGCTGGAGAGCACGGAAGGAAAGAAATGGAAATGACAAGTTTTGTTTTCACGTTCAAATCTTAATGAAATCTGTAAAACGGAACGAGTGAAAAAGAAATTATAAGTTAGTATTTTTTTTTTTTTTTACAGTGTAGAGCTTTTCTAATACAAAGAGGTGGGTGGGGCAAGGAAATTTCAGTCTTTATCGGTTTTGGAGATAAATTGGACTTTGTAACTCTTTGCAATTGATCCTGTTATCCTAGGTTTTCAAGATCAAAGCGGTGCAACTGGCAGGAAAACTTCTTCCAGCCTTCAACACACCTACGGGTATACCATGGGCAATGGTGAATCTGAAAAGGTAATGAATTTTCTTCTGTGGGGAAGCGTGTTCCTCCCCTTCCCTCCAATTTAAATTTAGTAATGGCATATGTCAGTTTTTCTTAGTAGAACTGTAGAAGCTGCAGACAAATGGGCATTTCTGGCTCTTCAGAGTAATTTTAATAGAATTCTACCTCATTAACTTCAATAAATTGTGACTATGGGGTTTTTTTTTGCCTCCTCAATTCTGCAGTAGGCACCCAACATGCCATTGGGAGGTGCCATGTGTTGCCCCAGAGCTCAGTCACTGGTTCTTTAGTCATTAAAGGAAATTGTTTGCAGGCCACGGTTGAACTTTCGGGGTTTTACACACCGTGAGCTGTGTGTTACCTTCAGAAGGCTCACGGTGTGCGAGAAGATGGTGGGACTCGAGATCTGAATTGATTTTACAGTTCAGCTTAGGTGTGAAGGCTGGTGTGCGGTCAGTGGAGATGGAGGCTCCTTAGGTGGCTCTTCAGTGGCTGAAGTTGAGTGGTCTGCGTTGTCTCGTGGGAGGGAATCGCCTTGTCTGCTCTGTCTTGCGTTGTTTGTTCAGTGCTGGGCTTCCCCTTGGATTTGGAGAGAGCATTTTTGATGGAAGACATTTTTAGAGTTTTTGTTACGTTCTTTCAAAGTGGCTGAATCGAGAGGCCTGTCTGGATCGCACGTAACTCAAGCGATTCAGGATAGTAAATAGCAGAGAGTTTTTGAATTGTTTAAATTGTTTTCCTTTTCGGAGAGAGATTTGTTGTGCTTTGTGAGACTGCGAAGAGGTTTAGGACTGCTTTGAGCACGTCAGCCCTGTGTGCCCTTTTGTCATCAGGAAACGATCCTCATGTTGCCATCACTCCTTGGGTGAAGACCGTGGAGCTGTGGCTGTTCAGCCTGGAGAAGAGAAGGCTCCGGGGAGACCTTCTAGCACCTTCCAGTACCTAAAGGGGCTACAAAAAGGCTGGAGAGGGGCTTTTTACAAGGGTGTGTAGTGACAAGACACGGGGCAATGGCTTTAAACTGAAAGAGGGGAGATTTAGATTAGATCTATGGAAGAAATTTTTTACACTGAGGATGATGAGGCACTGGCACAGGTAGCCCAGTGAAGCTGTGGCTGCCCCATCCCTGGGAGGGGTCAAGTTTTTTGGAGGCTTGGGGCATCTTGGTGTAGTGGAGGATGTCCCTGCCCATGGCAGGGGGGGTTGGAACTGGATGATCTTTGAGGTCCCTTCCAACCCCAACCATTCCATGATTCTATGATTGAATGGCTCAGGTGGCCACGCTCCTCAAACAGCACAGGCATCAGGTTCACTGGCTCAGCCAATATATATAATGAGGTTTAAGAAGCTCCAAGCAGTAGGTGCATGGATACCTATTGGTAAAACATGGAGGCTGATCACATAAGTCAGATGTCAGAGCGCAGTCAGGAAGGCAGGACCAAGGAGGAGGATCTGCAGTAGGCGGAGGGGAAAGGACTGGAGTGCCAGAAATTTCCTGCGTGCAGGTGTTTATGTATTTACTGTGTCAGCCTCTTGGTAATGTATGGAACCAGCCAGCATCCCAACAGAAAGTAGTGGTTGGCATGCCAGGGGACCGTGGCGGTGGCAGGTGTATATCAGAACGCTTACCAGGAGGCTGACATGCAGTAAGAGACAAGACCTGGAAGAAATATTTGGGAAATTACTGACTTGTGTTTTATTAGCTTTTATATTCATAATGAAACTCTTAATTTTCTCTTTTTATGAGAACTGTACCAAAAAAACCCTGAGACAAGCTGTGATTTTGTCTCCCTACACACTGTAAACAGAGGTTGCTGTGTTTTAGAAGGTGATGTTCTGTCCCAGGTCAGAGCCACAAATACTGCTCCATTACCAACATTTTTCCTTTACATTTCCTCTTTCTAATTTATAATTTAAAAAATAGAGAAGAAGACAATCCTAATTGATTGTAGTCTTACTGATAACTGAAATCCTTTATGAGAGGAAGTCAAAGTAATCTCCAGGAAAATGTAGTTAACTTCAGAAATTAAAAAACCTGATCCTGAAACGTGGTGAAAACTCCCAAATCAGATGAAACCGGAGGTAATTCAGGAGTTGTGACTCAGCGAGGTGGTACTCCTAGCGTGCAAAAATCAACTTCTTGTGGATTCTTTATGTGAGCCTGAGGAACTCATGATGTTCCACCTACAGGAAACATACTGTTTTCCTGTGTAGACACAAATAGGGCCCACTGCCATCCCACTGGAGTGTCCTACACGAAGCACATCCCACACAAGTAAAGGGAATGTTTGGCAGAACGAGGGCACGAATGCTGCCACCTCGGCAAGTCCACTCGTCTCGTCCGATAATTGCTTTTGATCCTTGCTCCTAGGAGCATCCAGTGAATGGACAACAGTTGAGGTGGGCCCAGTGGTAGGACGTTGTCTTTCTGTGACATCAAGATGTTGTGTCTTTTAATCACAGGACTTTTTGGTGATGAGGTTGTGGTGTCTTTCTTCCAAAAACACCCAACCGATGAAGCAACCGATCCATCAAACCATAAGTCCTGTAATCTTAAATATAAGTTAATATTTTGCTGTGACTTGTTTGATTTGCTGTGGTGGTGGTGACCAGTGCTGTGCATTGTAATTCTGAATTTGTGGTTCTTTTCTCTCTTTTTATTTTAATGCGTATTTGTTGGAATTCAGTGGTGTGGGTCGAAACTGGGGCTGGGCTTCTGCTGGCAGCAGCATCCTCGCTGAGTTTGGTACTCTGCACATGGAATTTGTCCACCTCAGCTATCTGACAGGGGACCCTGTGTATTACAACAAGGTGAGTCTCAAATTCAGGTTTTTTATCATACAAGTGCCTTTTATACTGTTTCATCACAAATTACCTTAAAGGGAAAGTACGTTCTGTATTGCATTCTATTTGTATTCTTGGTAGCAGGTAAATTTTTTTCATATTTGTATTTCTGTTACCAAATAGGTGACATTTTCAAGTAGCAATTTAGGACAGCACAAGTTTTCTCATTTCAGCATACGTTTAAAAATCATAGTTTTTAATCATGTTTCTGAGCAGTCCTTTAAAAGCAAAAACATACTAATGTGAGGGAAGCCCTCAAGAACGCTTCTGGGTTCAGATTAAGAAAATTTACCACTGAAAAAACCCAACAAACAAACAAAAAAAAACTCAACCAAAAATAAAAAAGTATTAGATTTAGCTACGTGCAGAGAGCAGATGAACATTCTTAGTGGTGATCCTGATTCTTCATTTAATTTAGGTCATGCACATTCGGAAGTTACTTCAAAAAATGGATCGTCCTAATGGACTTTATCCAAATTATTTGAATCCAAGAACAGGCCGATGGGGTCAGCGTAAGTATTCTTATTTTTTTCATTCCTAATTAAAGCTCTGCTTGCTATTTTGTTGCTGAGTTGGAGATCAGAAAAATTATTCTGTAGGGCATAAATGACGTTGCTTGAAAGCACACAGCACAGAGGGATTACTCAGGCTTGGGATCTTCTGAAACCATTTTTTGCCTGTCCCTCTGTCTGAAGTCACACTGCTCAATTTTTATGGTGATTTCTGAAAGCAGCTTCATAGAATCATGGAATCACAGAAGGGTTTGGGTTGGAAGGGACCTTGAAGATCATCTAGTTCCAACCCCCCTGCCATGGGCAGGGACACCCTTCACTGCACCAGGTTGCTCAAAGCCTCATCCAACCTGGCCTTGAATCCAGGGATGGGGCAGCCACAGCTTCTCTGGGCAACCTGTGCCAGTGCCTCACCATCCTCAGAAGGAAGAATTTCTTCCTTGGATCTAATCTGAATCTCCCCTCTTTCAGTTTAAATCCATTGCCCCTTGTCCTATCACTACACGCCCTTGTCCAAAGCCCCTCTCCAGCTTTCCTGTAGCCCCTTTAGGCACTGGAAGGCTGCAATAAGATCACCCTGGAGCCTTCTCTTCTCCAGGCTGAACAGCCCCAACTCTCTCAGCCTGTCTCCATAGCAGAGGTGCTCCAGCCCTCGCATCATCTTCATGTCCTCCTCTGGACTCGTTCCAGTAGCTTTGTCCTTCTTGTGTTGGGGATTCCAGAGCTGATCTTCCTACCAGATCTGGTGCCTCCCCTTGCTTTTACCAGTCAATAAAAGAATGAGGCTGAAAATAGCTTCCTTGTTTTGATTTTTTTCCTGTTTTTTTTCTGCACACCAGCTGGTAAGTGGATTCCTGTAAGGTAACGTGGAATAATGCACGTTTGGTGTGGTTAAATTTGAGCTCCTTCACCTGGTGTTAGGGGCTGACACTTACAAACGTCGTTCTGCTACTTAGTGGTGTGTGAAGTGGCGTGATGAACCTCACCATAGGTCCTGCTGTCGTTAATGCGTCTCTCATTTAAAAAAAAAAAAACAACAACAAAAACCAACCTTGGGATAAAAAGAAAAAATTGAGCTTGTTGCTGACAATGTAAGTGAAACACGAAGATGGAGACACAAATGTGATTGCTTGTCTTGAAGTGGTTCTTCCAAGAAAAGTTGAGTGGTTTGGTGCTTCCATAGTGGGTGTAATAAAAGAGAATTCTTTTTCTTCAGGGTTTCTGTTCCAATTTCTTCCATGAATGCAAGCTCATTTAGGAAAAACAAGCAGGATGGTCTGTTTCTGTCCTGTTTGCCATCATTGAGAGGTTTCAGGGAGTTGAGTGGTTGGCTGTGAGTAGCCAGCAGGACACGTCCTGGCGTGCGAACCGAGAATTTGCTGCTGACTTGGATCTGCTGTCTGGGAAATGGGTGCAGCCGGATCGGCCTCACCCACGACAGCAAGATAAATTCTTCAGACTAATTTAGGTTTCAGAAAAAAGAAAGTGAGCAAATACAAACCTTCACCTATCACTTATTCAAAAGGCAATTTTATGTTGTTCCGAAATAATTTTTTTTTTCTGTTGCTTTTTTGTAATACCACCCCGGTGCTCCTGCTGCTTTTATCAAAAGTAGTTTGATGTGGTGGGTCACCAGGATTCTGTAGGGGCTTTTTGTCACGTGTAATAATATCAGTCAGAATTAACAGCTTTTGGGAAGAAAATAATCCTGCGTCACTGAGAATAAATATACAGTGACAGTTTTCACTTTTCAGAAGTTTGATGGAGCTCAAACATACTATTTAAATGAATTTTGAAAAATAATACACTTGCAACTGAAGTTTAGGATTACAGGCTGAGACTGAAGTTTTTAGGATACAAAGAATTTACTGGTTGGTTTTGGTTTTGGAGGGGATTTTTGAGCAAATAAGCTTCCAAGTGCAGATACGGATGTTCTGGTGATGTTCCTGAGATTTCTCCAATGCAACAAGTATTTGTTAACATCTCTTGAAAGGTTTTGTGGGGACACGAAAGCAAGAATCTCTAGTTCTGGGTTTCCTGCCCCAAATGAGGGTGGACCGATGGTGGCTTTGTTGTGTCCCTGAGAGATCGCTCTTCAGCGGGTGTTTTTGCAGAAACTTCAGAAGTTACCCTAAAGGCAGATGAGCACTGAATCCCTGGAATTATGGGCTGTTCCTGGACAGGAGCTTTTCCTGTAATTCTCCTGCAGGGTTTGTATCCTGCGTGGCAGAAGATCACTCACACCCTACATCTCAGGTCACCGGAGGACCACAACACTGTCGCTGGCTTGAGTCCCGTTGTGGGTGTTGAGGGCAGAGAAGGCTTTTGTGTCCTCCTCAGAAGGACATTCCGAAGAGCCTTGTGTTTGGCTTCTTATATGCTTTAGTGCTGGAAAAACTGAGACAATGGAAAGAGCACCAAAGCATGACTGCTCTTCTTTCAGCTTCTGGGAAAGCCACCCTTTTCGTCTGTGCTGTGACCTTTGGTTTGATGCATCTTACCTTGTGCAAAGTTCCTTCTCTGGATAGTTTCTGAGAATTATTTCAGAACTCTTTATTTGCCTAGATACATATAACTCTTTACTCTGACCTTTCTGGGTTTTGTTTTTTCTTTTCCTTCCTTTTAACATTTTTTTTTTTTCCCTCCTCAGACTTTTTTGGCTCAATTTTACTTAACGTTTTCTGTTAATCTGTACACTGTTCCAACTAAGTCATGAGGAGTGTGAAATAAGTAAAATAAATCTACATAAATACATACATAAATATACTATTGAAGAAATAGGGGATTTACCTGCAGTGTAGCATCATTTCAGTGGTGGGTTTATTTCCTGTTTTTATACCTGTCATTCTAGCAGTGGGTGTTTTCTAGTGGTGGGTACCTTTATTCAAAGAAATAAAAACACCAGTGATGTGCACATAGCAGTCAGACTAATTAGTGTTATTACTACCCATTGATTATCCAAAGAGTATTAAACAAAATCTATAATGGAAGGATCCATTTAGGTCAAGTTTTCTCAGTAGTTATGTTTTGTCTTTTTTTTTTTTTAAGAAAAAAAATTCTGATCTGAATAGAAGAAAAAAGATACACTTCTACATTTTTCTGTTTAATTTTGTTCTAACAGGCTGATAGGTAAACTTGGATACTTAAAGACAGTTCCTGTTGCAAGACAGATTTGTGGAAGAAAAGGGAGCCTCAAATGTTTTCTGTGGCTTTGGTGTGGCCCCACAGGACTGTAAGCTGGATGTATCTCTGCTTGCAACCAGAATTTTGTGGAAAATTCTCGATTATCTTCTATCCTGATACAGTGTTTTCATACCTTCTCAGAATTATTTGCACAAGGAGCCTAGGCACGTCCTTGTTCTGCGTTTTTAACCAAAAAAAAAGCTCACGAGGATTGCACCTACTTTATTTGACTTGCAATCCCACCTATTAAATTTAATGTGAGCAACTAACGTGCCTTTGAAATGACCCATTTAGAAACGTTTCCTTCCTTTTTCCTCTGTGCTGCAGAGGTCTGTGCAGTAATTTATGCTGCCACATCAGTAACTTCTGAGCACCCGTAAGGTCTCACAACGGACTGCCTTTCTTTTTTTGAATCTCAGATTTTGCACAATCTGAACCATCAGAACTCTGTATGGACTGGATATAACTCACAAATCTGAAGTTTATATCTCAGCTCCTGGTGTTGGGGAAATTAAGAGTAATAAAATTCAGCGCTAGGTCTTATGGAAGGGGAAGGTGATGTTTATTTGTCTACAGAGGCGTTAAGACAGCTGATTTTTACCTAATCTCGTTTTCTCCTAGGTTTGATTCGCTCATACTCACAGGTGCTAAGATGTATCCAAGTTCTCTGGACTCAAAGGAAAAGGGGACACGGGCTATCCAGTCCTCTTCACATACCTGCATAGCAGGAATTGAGTTCATTATACCCAGGAGGAGGAAAGTGATGTCATGTGTAGGCTAAATATTTGTGTTTAAGCTTATAATGTGCAGATATTACTGCAGCATGAGCGGTGTGACAGCCAGCTCTTCAGTGGGCTCAGCCCAGGATTTGGTGGGGCTCAGTGGGGCTTTTGCTGGAAGGCAGAGCTCTAATGCCCACAGGAATGTCGACAGATGCAATTTTTGCTTACAGACTAAGGTGATGGTCCAGTAGGATTTACAGTCCTTCTGCCATGGGGTTTCAGGTTCTGTAGGACTGAAAGGCAAAGAGCTGGCAAGAAGCATGTTCTGCCCTCTCACGTTAAGCTGCAGGGAACTTTGTCAGCTTTTCCTTTCACTTTGGTGTAAGCAGCAGAGCTTTGAATTTAGATTTTTTTCTAAAACAGTGACAGTGCTTTCTAGAGAAGCCCACAAAGCAGGTATGATGACTGGAGTCCTGATTAAAAGCAAGACATTCCAGAATTAGGGGAAGTTGGTTTGTACTGAAGAAAAAAACAATTTTTAACAAAGCAAAAATACGTTGAGAAAACTTAATTGTAGTTTGCATTTGCAATGAGGTTAGACGAGGACACCAACTAGAACAGCAAAACCAAAGAAAATGCTAATCTGGATGTTATTGCCAAGTCAGGACGTGCCACTCGTGTTTGCATGTTTCTGTAAGTGGGGCATTCTTCCCTCCTACTTTTCAATATCGAGAACAAATTATTGCGTTTAATCCGGTTCCAACATCTCTTGCAAGTAACAACGTTTCTGAAGGGGAACTCAAACCACTCTGGCTTCGCCTCTCAGTCCCTGCAACTGGGCTGCCTGTGGAGTTACCCAGGTTGGTTACGTAAAAAAGTTGTGTCTGTGTTTTTTGTTTTTTTTTTACACTCTGCCTTAGTGTATTTTGGTCATGTTCTCACTTTCTCGCATCAGTTCCCTGCATCCGTTACTACGGAGCAAGAAACGCAACCAAGGTGGCTGAATGGGAGAAATTTCTATCCTGTTTCCCAGCTGGTTTTGCTGTAGACTGGCTTCTAAATGGAAGCAGATGCCTTTGTGGATGTGCATATTTC